AGGACAGGTTTATTATAAAAGGGAGAGGAGAGTAAAGGACACTAATACAGACAAAAGTGGGCAGAAAGCAGTCCTGAAAGAGACAGATTTGATAAAAGAGAGGGCTGCACAGTCACAGGTGGGCAATCTTGGGAGGAGAGCTGCCTCTGCTGCTCTGCAGAGAGAAAAGGTTGATGAAGAGAAGCATCTGCAAATAGGCACAGGTGGGCAGGAGGACCGCTGCCCCTTGCCAGTGCAGAAATTACACTGATATATATCTTCTCTTTGGGCGGGGCTCATTGCTTTGTGGAGCTAACTTTTGTTAACTTAATTACTTCTAGGGTGTGAGTAGTTTGATTTGTAATGACCAATGACTCCCTGTAATGGCCCTCAATCTCCACATCCCCACCTATGGTCTGCGCCTCTAGACACTTTCTGTGCAAATCCCATAGCAGGATTTTTCACTTCCACACCTGGTTTAATGACTATGTTAATCACTTCTGCCCCCACCTCCAGCTTTTGGCCTTGCATGAGACAGGTCTCTGGTCTTGTGGTGCCTCCTTTCCAAATTTTCTACTCTTAACCTCCACCAAAAAGATGACTCTAAGCATTCATGCTCTTTCTGAAAAACTAAACTACTAACTTTTCAAGTAGTTTACTTGTTTCTGTTAGTGTAGAAAGTTTTCTCCTCTAAGCTTTTTCTCTTTTCCTACATAAAGCTGGCTTCTAACCAATTGAGAACTTCTCACATAAACAGGGGAACTGCAAAAAATCTAGCAACAGCTACATACATGCCACCAGTTCCCATGGAAAACCATAGGGATGAGGACCTGGTTTCATAATTTAAGGCAACACTGCTACAACCCTGTGTGGCTTTTACAGGACTGGCCCCAAGTACATCTGCTCTCACATGCCACCAGGGCTACCTGGCTGTCCCAGCTGCAGAGAACACACAGTGTTCTTGCCCATTCTGTTTTCATAAGGCAGTGTTCCATGACTGTGAGCCTTTGGCTGTGTTCCATAGAGACCCACCTCTCTAAATGGAGAGACTTTAAGTACTTACTTCAAGAGTAAGTACTGCCAAGTCCTAGTAAACCTGGTCAGTGTACTAATCTGGATTATTCAGAAAATAAAGATCAAGAAATGAAAGTTACATAGCAACAACAAACACCACTGACACCCAACAAAAGATAGCCGAGCCAAGTAAATAGACCTAAAATGAAAGGAGAGAATTACAAGCCACAAGTTGTCAGGGAGGGCTCTCTAAGCCCACAGAGGAAGTGGCCGATCCACTACGTGAGGAAAAGGAACAGCTGCAGCTAAGCATACCATTTTATTTTTGTTATGTGTAAAAGCATTACAGTCCCTGGTCCAGAGCCATGGTAAAATTTATAGGCTTGGAATTTGTTTTTTCATGTACAGCATTCCTCAGGAATCATTTATAAAACCTGCTTTTTCTCTAGGCTGTCAACTGGCAGGAAAACTGAACTTCAAAAAACAGTCTTTTCACTTTTTCCCAAACAGAATCTTACACAATTCAAACCTCATTAAAATAAACACTGCAGCCTAGGAGTTGTCCTCAAGGGTGCCTATTATGGACATTGCAGACTCAGAGGACATTTTGTTAGAGTAAAATCATACAGATGATGCTCAGAGCTTTTTCAGATGTTTGTATACCTTTTTTGTTCTGGTCTGGGCCAGAGTAATTTATACTGAGTCAACAGTATTCCGAGGTGATCACCTTGGTACACAACTCTGTGGTCATTTTCCAGAACTATTCTTTTACCTGAGTACATTTACACTTGCAGTAATCTCCAAGTAACTCTGACCACAAGATAGGAGCTTTTGCATTTTCGCAGGGCTGTTTGTTTCCTTCTCTTTTTAAGGCACTTCCTTCATTATTATGACATGCCTGCCCCCCTCTCTTTCTCTCTCCACCCCCTACAGGGGAGACACTTTCTTCTCACTCTTGAGAGATGCTTGAGTGCCTTGTGGAAGAGCAGGGTGGGTCCATAGTGAGCCCATGAAAACTCTACTCGAACCCTGAGTCTACTGGGGACTCCACTGTTGTTATTAGTTCCTTCCATTATTAGTAATGTCTATATTGCATCCTAATTATCCAGCTACTTCCTCATTTTCTTCTAACAGGTGAGGTGAGGAAAGGACATCCTGGAGGTATTAAGCAACTTGTCCTATTTCACTTCCTGGAACTCTGACTCTCAGATCTCAAAACTCTTTCTACCAGATGAGAAAAATGAAATCTGAGAAAATAGCAGGGAAATATTTTGTTCTAATAAATGAGGTTTTGAATATATGAAGATAAACAGAATCTGGAGCCTCTAAGAAGTCAGGTTCAACAAATGATTCAAAAACAATGATGACAGTTTAGGATAAGAAAAGAAGGGAGTCTCTGGTTTTACTTAATCTCATTCATATCCCAACCATAGTCTTGCTTATTTACTTTGCAGAGAAGGGAGAGGCAGGAAAGAGGGAGGAAAAGGGGAGATCAAGGAAGGGTGTAGCAACCCATCTGCTCCCTGTGTGCTCCTTGCTTCCAGAGTTTCACTCAGCTTTTGAGACTTTAATAATATGTGTGTGTGTGTGTGTGTGTGTGTGTATAATTACCCCCAAACAAGAAAGTTTATATATATAAACTTGTTTGGGGGTAATTTTCATAGAGAAAAAATTATGAGAATTTATGACATGAGGCATGTAGAACAAGTTATGTAGAAGAGGGCTGAAAGAAGGATGATATTTTGTTGTCTTTAGAGTTAAAAACATAAAAATTGCATGAAGCTGATGTTAATATATGAAATTGATTTTGATACTGCCAAAAATACCAATTAGAAAGTAGTTCTTGTCTTATTTAATTAGGGCAACATGTTGCACCAATCATAATTTTGTCTGAGAATATTTAAGATACAAAAGCAGAAGTCCCTATTGTAGCACTTTTCTCACTTGGAAGGCACTGCAAATATTATTAATTTAAATACTTAAAATAATGATATATTTTGACAATATCATCCTTCTAAAGCATATCTCTTTCTTTCTAGGAGTAACACTTAATTGACAAAAATCTGACCTAAATAAATCAGAGTACTGGTTGTTACTAGGAACTTTCCTCTCTACCACTTAAGATTGACATTTCAATTACTTCCTTTAATTGTGACTAATAATAATTATAAAAAGTACAGCATGTCCAAAAGAAAATAGAATCATATGTTCTCATTTGCTTCTGGATTAGAACTGAACTGTTTTGTCATGGCCTACAGAAGCTTCATACAGATTTGTTGGCTGGACAGTAACCTACAGAAGCTTTGTATAGATTTGTTGGCAGAAGCAGTGACTGCAGAAATTCTTCTTCTTTGCTTCATCCTTAGATAAAGAGCTCTACCATTAATTTTGAATTATGAATAATTGCCAATAATCTTACTCTTTATGCTGGAGCTTTGATGAATGGCCATGCCACCCAATCTACACAACACATTAATAACTTTGAAATTAACTCTCTGTCCCTGTGGAAATGTTCCTCTACCAGGGTGTTTTGCTTCTCCTTATGGCCCTTAGGTAACATCCACCTGCACAGAGGACTTTCACTGGAAAGATTTCCCTTTCATTTATAATTACTGGTTTGTGGTAAACTGATATACTAGTGAGTTGATTAAAAATCCTTATTTTAGAGCTACTGTTTCATGCCTTTTTCATGGGGCTTGAAGAATATCATAGAATGTTGGCGTGGAAGAGTGGAAAGACATAGATTTTGGGATTCATCAGAAAATCAAGACGCAAATCATAATCAAAGAACCACCTATGCCATTTACTGTTGATTTGACCTTGAGCACATAATTTAAGTTCTTGTGGGCATAGTAAACTGGGATAATAATAGCCATTGCACCAACTCCACAGGGTTAAGGCTATGAAAATCTTTGAAAACTGTGAGATTCCAAATATGTTATTTCCATGGCAGATTCCCTTGCCTTCTTTAAAGATAGCTTTGTGGAAATAACAAGCACATATCCGATTATAGACAAAAATGCTATAAACTTCAAAAGTGCTAAGAGACTAAATATTAACTGTTCCCACCACAAAAAAAGAAATAATTAAGTGACATGACAGGGATGTTAGCTAATACCACATTGATAATCTTATTGTAATATCTGATGTATCAAGTCAATACATTGTATACCTTAAACCTGGGTAATGTTATATTGATAATATATCAATAAAAGCAATTTTTTTCACCCATTTAATGAGGTCAGTGGTTTTTAATGGATTCACAAGTATATATAACAACCGTCACAATTTCATCATCTCAAAATGAAACCCTATACTCTTATCTGTGACCTCCCTACCGTCCCCCTTTGTCTTTTTAATTTTTACTTTGTGTCTCTTTTCAGAAACTCTAGAATAATGCTTCAAATTACATTAAATAAAAATAAGATTACTTGTGGGTGACATTACTGTTTCCTATGAAGTCTCTCGGGGCTCCCAGTTTATACTCTTAAGTGTATGGCAGGATGAGAAATGGGGACGCAAGAGTTAGTAAATGATAAATTACCAGAAAGTTTACAATTCTTTGCCGCAGTCTTTTAAGATGCCAAAGAGATGAGCACTCACTGTTGTTGTCAGAGCCCCAAAGCCCCTGCCATGAAGCAGCTCTTCCCTGTGGGATATACCTATCTGTGGGGACTGGGGAGAAACAAGTGGACTCAGGGTGGATGGGGGTTCTCCCCTTTCTCAATTGCAAGAGTTTCCAAATTGAAGGAAATCAGTGTTTTCAGGAAGCAGCTTTTACTTTTCCTTTACTTTGTAAACATGAATTTGACATGCAGCTGAGTCAGAAAGAAAAGAAGGGAAAAGGAGGAAGGAAGTGATAAGGGGGACAGAGAGGGACGAGCTGCTTCTGTAGTTCTACTTCCTGCACAGCCCAGACATTAAGTGCAAGTGTTGAAGTAGATTCTCTCCATATGTCACGTTCCCTGGGAAAAAGGAGCTCAATCTTAGCCTCTTTTTTGTTCCAGGTCGCCAGATCCCACCGTTGGATCCCCATGAAAATGGAAACAATGGAGCAATCAAGCTTGGGAAGCAAAGCGTGCAAGCCAGCCGGCGATGCTGCTGACCCTGGGCTGTGCCCACTGTGCTTGAAGCAAGGGCCTCCGTGCTCGGCGGCCTGGCACCCCACTTAAGGAGAAGTGAACATGCTAGCTTTTCACTCTGAAAGACCAGGAAAGGGGGCAAGAGCTGTTCCCAGAAAAGGATTTTAGAAAACTCTGGAAAAACCCATCATACTGCTGCAAAGTGGCCATTAGTGTGTTAGATGCACACTGGAGGGAACGGATATTTGGTAAACATTAAACTGAGTGTTTTGTTAAGCCTTAAGATGTTCTCCCACTGTACAGGAGTCTTACTGGCTTGTGTGTGAGATTCTAAAGTGGAATTCCATTCTGACTTCCTATGTTCCCTAGCCAAATTTCAGTAACTTCTTCAGTGCCATTGCCTTCATTACCTAACCAGCCTTCACCTGAGCCTAACCAAAAAGGTTGATTTATTTTACCTTTCCGTGGAGGATAATTGGATTGAGCTATCATAAAAGTGGAGAAAGATAATGTTAGCGTTGTCTACATCTCTGATTTTTACTTGATGAACATTTTACCAAGCATTGGTCATATACAAACAAACCACATCTGACTATTGTATATAATTTTAGGATTGGAAGACCTAGTTTGCAAGTCATTTAAGCAGTTACTATGTGAACAGTGGCAGATTTAGGATATAAAGATTATTCCAGAGACTTCCTGGCATGCAAGTCCTCCATGATAATAAATTCCTAGTTTCTTAGAAAAGTTTAATGCACAGAGTATTATTTTACTAAAAGAATATGTCATAATGTCATTTCTAGGGGGAAAAAATAACTGCAATAGCCCAGATTGTAGGGCAAACGTTTAACAATAGCAATGAACGGTAGGTTGCAGGAAAACCAGCCATAGGAAGTACCAGAACCTTAAGATCCTACCCGCTGGAAACTCCAAAATCAGAGAACATATTTAAGGAGATGCCAAGCTCCAGGAAGTGTAGGTATTTGGGCAAAGGTCCACTTCTGGAGTGCCAGTTAACTGGGCCTTGATAAAATCTTCCTTTTCAGCCGCCCTTTTCGCTCAGTTAATTAAAAATGTCTGAATCCAAGGCAAGAAAAGGCAGTGAGAAGAGGAAGAGCTAGTTCCATTCAAAACCCAAATCCTATTACCATAAATGTTCATTAAAGTGTCCATGAAAACCTGGGATCAAGAAGCAGTTGGTTTTCTGTTAGGCTCCTATAGGTGATTCTTAAAGAACATTCAGGTCAGTGACTTTTGGGAGGTGTGGGAAGCTGCAAAAGGACAGCTTTGTGAGTGGTTAACCGTGCAGTGTGGTAACAAGGCCAGGAGGTGCTTTCTTTGAAGGAACTTGCAAGGGCCAGCAAACATTTGTTGAAAAGCTGTAATATAAAAACCAGGGAAGAGACTGTAAGCTGATTAAATGCCTGGAACTTTCGGTAACAGACAAATGAACTGTGCTTCAGAGTCCTGTCTTGGCGGCACCCACCATGCTCCAGACCAGTAGACACAGAGTTCATCAAGGACAAAAGGCCAGAGTCATTGAGAGACCACTGCCATGTTTACACTTTTTCATGTGGACAGTGGGCAAGAAAATAGCCAGGTGGGAATCACAGATTCCGATTTTTATTTCAAAAATGTGCTGTCAATTTGATGTTCTGTCAATTTCTTACCACTTCACCCAGCTTTCAAGAGTAGTTTGACAATCTTAGAATGTGAAGTATTTTTGGTTTGAGTGCCTCTTAACTCCCCCAGATAGGTACCTCAAAAATGGTTAGCAACTGGCATTTGGATGTCTTGGCTGGGCCTTGGCGGGGATTTTTAGGCTTTGCTCTATATTGTCAACATTACTGGCTAATGTAATTCTGCTTGCAGGCCAAGCAATTGTCATACATCTTTCCAAAGATTAAAAATTGGGGTTGACAAATGAAATGACCTCTTCCCAAGTGACTGGCAGGCTTATTTTAGAACCTTTACTTAACCAGCTGTTCCTGAGAATCTGGGTTTATTTGGAGACAGTGCTCAGGTTGTCTGGCTAAGACGAACCTCTTTCCAGCAGGGTTTTGAATGTTGGGCTGGGTCTTCAGTGGTTGCCTCTTGCCTCTTGATGGTAGCCACATGCAATGAGCTGCCCACGAATGAGCCCATGGTTTTATTTTAGAAGCATATGAGGGTGTGAAACACTCTTATTTCTCTGTATGACCTTATGTATGGAAGCCGGCTAGATGACTATACATAAAATCACTATGGGACACAATCGGTGAAGAGAGAATAATATGGTCACACATGTATTTGCATAAACTTGGAAACTTTTCTAAAGAGAGATGCTTGAGCCTTGTCCACAATGATGGTTTCTTGTTTTCCTTTATTTTGCCTTGAGTTTACTTTCTGACTGTTCTAATAATTGAACTATAATCACCTAAAAGTATATAAAACTTGGAAATTACTATTGTTCCAAAATGTCACGTAGTTTAATGGAATGTAGCATCCTTTACAACCTTCCAAAATGTGCTCCTTTTCCTCCATTTTCTTTTCTTTCCCGTGGGTATGTATGTGTACATCTGTAAATATGATTTCGTATTTGTTATGCCAACATATAATCCATTTGGCTCAAGACTACGTGTTAAAGTAATGTAGGCATGAATCTTCCCAGGGATTATTTCCCAAGGCAATCCTTGTGATGGGAGCAGAGTCATGCGAACAGTCTATCTAGGTACATAATTGACTTGCCATTTTATAACTGAAAATGGTACATTAGGGTGCTGAATATGACGTTACTTGCAGACTACAGGAGGTTAAAAGACTGAATCTAACCTTTAGCCAACAAAAGAGCTGTGCCCCAGAGAGATCTGAATGCATTTTCTGAGCGAAGTTTGGATGACTGAAAGGTTTCCTTTAAGACCTAGGACCCACCAACCGTATGGTTGGTGATGGATAAAATCAGTGGGGTTTAGGGAGCTCCACTTCTCACTGCTCTGCAGTGCCCAAGGTGAATTGAATATGAACTATCTTATGAACTAAAGAGCTCTGGCCTGTTAGACAGCTTTTTAATCTCTTAACCATCATTGTTGAAACCAGAGCCAATGTCAGTGCTCTGTTGTGTAAATTCCTCCTTTTCTCATATTTTTATAAAGAGCTTCTGTCTGGGCTGGACCCAGTTTGTGCAATAGAAAACACCACTGCAGACTGTTAGGACCTTTCCTCCTGCCTTCTGTGCTACAGCATTGCCCTTGGCGACACCCCGATATATCTGTTGTTGGTTTAACACACACTGATTCATACTAATAAATATTTTAAGTTTTACCAAGTTTGTCTTTTTCTTATTATAATGTTCAGTAGAATAATTTTTTAAAAATTGCTTAGATACTTCAGAATAAAGAGTGATGACTTCCCAGACACACGGGTACCTTGTATCAATGAAGACACACACCAGGAAGTTCACTGGTACTGTTTGCAATAGCAACAGTAGTCTTTCCTTAAATTCATAAATGGAAAAAATAATAATTCACAAATAAAATGACACAAGCACATGATGAAAACTATAGGGTAATATAAACAAATGCCAGCTCTATCATGCCTCAGTGTGTATCTCCAAACAGGGCGTGGTTTGTGGGGCTGCCATACTGCACAACACCCAGAAGTCACTCAAGGAGTGGCCTGCATGAGTGGAGCCCTGGGGGCAGTGCAGTGCACAGCCTGAGCAAAGAGCTGCGGCTCTGAATAAATAAAAAAAGCTGAAAAGGTACAGAAGTCTACAAACTTATAAAGAACCAGTAATGTTTGTTGTTTATAAATGTGTGTATTATGAGAAAGTAAAAGAATTCGAAGATAGTGCTTGAAGATAGTGCTTATCTCTGGGAAAGAATGACAGTAAACAGGATGAGGAGGAGAACAAAGGCATTTAATGGCCAGAAAGTTTTCTTTTTTTCATGATATGATATAAAATATGAAGCTAAATAAGACAGAAGGACGGCATTTCATAATTTGAAGGTATGTGTTTTATGAGTCTCTGTTTTGCTGTATAAATTATTGTCAAAGAGATGAGTTAAGAAAATGAAAACAAGAAAAAATGAAGAATTAGACTTCCTAAATATGTTAAAAAGATTTCACACATATAATTGTCAACTCAATGTACTCAAAATCTTACGGTTTACTTTTTGCCATCCCTTCTCCATCATCATTGGCTGCCCCTTCCTGCCCACCAACAACACCCTTCCTTGTGCACTGGGTGGAGCTCATCTTTCGAGGCAGAGCTCATCAGACAGAGCTCATTTGATCCGCAGATGTACATGGGGAAGCAGGACGTGAAGAGGCAGGAAAGCGGTGCCTTATCTTCTTAGGGTTTGAATCACTATCCAGGTCACGTGATGGGAAGCTGCTTTCACTATGTAATCAAACAAGTAAAACAAACCACTCACCATCACCGAGAGAGTCAGTGTTCTGATTTTGTAAGAAAACAAGCCTTTTATATTTCCTAAGACGTGCTCACATATTTATGGCAACTTTGGGAAAGGTTTTTAGAAAGGATCCTATGATTGGATTTAGCCAGCAAGTTTCATGCCATCAGACTTTGTCCTTAACATTTGACATAGAGATCCCTGCCTCTGTCCCACCAAGTCCCACAATCCTACTTTAAAATAAACCGTGGGGGGTTTATTTCATAGAACCGGGGGCCTGAGGATTTATGCACTGAGGCACTTGGCACATTTTTACAAAACAAGTCTGGTTGATTTAAGGTCCTTAGAGAACAAGGACGTGGAGTCCCAGCTTGACTACTTGAGCTTTACTTGTGGCTGCTCTAAATAGTCTTTAAATATTTCCTGTCAGGCAAGGATTGAACCAAGAACAAGGCCTGCTTGTTACAAGGGGCGGGAGATGCCGTCCTAATTGCATCAGCATCATCTCAAGTAATATCTTTACGACTGTTTCAAGGCATATTGCAACAACCTGTAATTGAACAGGCTTCTTGGACACCTGTGAATCTGTCTGCCCTCCACAAACAGATCCTACTGAGTGCTGACAAATATACAAGAGACAGGCACTCCCAGACATGCTGATCAGATCAGCATAAAAACTGGTACAGTCTTTCTAGTAAGAGGCTCACCAGAGTATTGATATATCTAAAGTTGTTTGTGAGGATCATATCCTAGGACCCTATCCTATTTTCTATTACTAAGAATTAATATATGGGGCCTCCCTGGTGGCTCAAGGGGTTAAGTCTCAGCACTATGAAGCTATCTGCAGCCACTGCAGCATGAGTTCTCTCCCAGGCCAGGGAGGTGACCCGCATGGCGTAGCAGACCTCTCCTGCCTCGCCCACTGCTCCCCTTAGCAGTGTATTTCAGTCAATCCGTCTGTTCTGTTCCCCACTCTGTCTCTGGTGAATCTTCTCACCTTCCCCACACCTCTAGCCTGTACCCCAGTTCTTGAATGTATAAATAAATCTTTTTTTAAAAAAAAATTAATATATGTGCTGGTGTGTGGATATGTCTATGTCTACATATTATATATGCACAATATATATGTGTGTGTATATATATATCTGTATTTAACATATACACATGTTGTCTATTACTGTGTAACACATTCACCCAAAGCTCAATGGCTGAAAGCCAGCCAGCATGGATGGAGCAGGAAGGGACTATACTAAGCAAAATAAGAAGAAAAAAGATAAATATTGGATGGTTGCACTTACATGTGGAATATAGAGAAACTAAACAAACTGTCACGGAAAAAAAGGCCAAAACTTTCAAGCTGTCACAGGTCTGAGGCGTACAGTACAGCAGGGGAGGAGGAAGGCAAGGGGTCAACATAGGGGAGGGAAGAGCCCAAGGGACTGTGGTGATGGAAACAAGTGCTAATGTGGTGGGAGAACTATGAGGACAACACCTTAGGGGAGAACTCAAATACTGTCCAAATATAAACAACGATGAAAGAAAATAAAAAAATTAAAAAGATAAACAAAACATCTCTCTCTTGCCCACCTGTGTCTATGCAGGTGCCTCTCTTTTTCTTTCTTCTTTTTCTAATAAACCTGTCCTTTAAAAGTATAAAACAGCAATAAAAAAAAAACCTAATAAACACTATCTTAACAGCCCCAGTGGACAGGAATCTGGGAACTGCTTAGCGGGGTGGTGTGTGTGTGTGTGTGTGTGTGTGTGTGTGTCTGTGTTAGGGTCTCTGCCAAGTTGAAACGCTGGCTGAGGCTGTACCAGCTGAAGCCTTGACTGATGCCCTCGCCTGGCTGTTGGCAGAGAACTCGCTTCTCTCCAGGGTGACCTCTCCATAAGCTGTTCAGGTGACCTCATGTTGTGGCAGCCCAAGGGAGTGAGCCAAGAGGGAGCAAGGCAGAAGCCTTGGTCTTTTATGTCCAGCCTTGGATGCCACATGCTGCCAATTTTTTGACCTCCTGGTAGCTACATAAGTCAGAGCTATTCATGGTGGGAGCAGACTCTGTGAGGACATAAATATAGGAGGACGGGATCATTGGAGCCACCTTGGAGTCTGGCTCCACAGGTACAACTAGTGATTTGTACCTTGGTAAGGGGTTTGCTCCCATATCTTAACAATAAAAAGTTGGAAAAATCCAAATGTCCTATGATACAACGTGATTAAATAAATTGCAGTCATCCATAAGAAAGAGTACCGTAATCATTAGAAGGTATAGTATTAGAAATGTGTTACTGGCCACACCATTCAGAGGTACAAAAATGTACTCCTTTCTTTTTTCTATAATAACAATCTTTACCCCCATTCTAATGTGTAAAGCTGAATTTAATTATACCTGCCTTTAGCAAGTCAACTCAGTAGAATCTGTCATTTTAGGTTTAAATTTATTGTTAGGAGTTAACCCTCCTCTTTTTCCCAAGGGTGAAGAGGTAGGAAGAATGGCTTCTGGAAGCCTCATGCTGTGATTCCCATTCTGATTATCTTGTCCCCAGGCCCCCACGGTGGTCTCTGTCTCCCTGCTGTGAGCACCTTTTCTCCCTCATGTCTGTTCCCTCCACTTAAGTTTCCTGGGGAGATTTTGGATGAGAACTTAAGCTCCTCTGGGTCCTCAGGGATTGGTGGGGCAGCAGCCTGAGGCTGGGAGAGGAGCTGTCTCAATAGGCCCTGCCAGGATCCCTACTTGAATGCTGAGGCCTGATGATGATGGGGTTGGGGCCCAGTGCGCAACACAATTTCTGGAACGGTGGTGGGAAGCTGTAACTGAGCCCTTGTTACCCACGTTGTATCTGCATGTAACTGTCCTAGCTTCTCTAGCTTTCTTCTCCCACAGCCCAGCAGGTATAGGAGCGGGGACAGGTAGGTCAGACCTTTATACCAGCTATGTCAAGACTTGCCCTTTTGAGTTCCAAAATCCTTTTATGCAGACTTTATTACCCAAATTGGGGCACTTTTGAGAGTGAAAGTGGTTACTGTTAACATCAAGTTAAGATGTTAATAACAGCAGTAAATTGGATAGTCCCAGACAATTAGGAATGGAGGGACATTGTGATCTAGTCTTTTATTCATCTAGCAATGTGGGCACAGTATTGACTGGGAAGGTGGGGAAGAAAACTGAGCTCCTGGATAAGCTCCTTATCACATTTATCTTTGTGAACTCATTCGCCCATCCATCCCATCAACAAGTATCTGTTGATGGCTACTGAGTCAGTGTTGAGCTAGCCCTCAATAACCATCATTGTGTGGTATTTGTGACCAAGTTTACATAGGAGGAAACAAAGGTAGGGAAAAGACAAGAGAATCAAGAATGGTGGGCATGAGGTGTTCCTTCAAGGGTAGAAAGGGCTGCTAGACTGACAGAAGAACTCTGACATGGGGTAGGACTGTGGGCTTGGCAAGCAGCCCCACCCCTTACTCAACATAAAATCCTAAACATGATTTCTCTGAGCCTCGATTTCCACTTTTAAAAGGGGATACCGCACACAACACAGGGTTGATATCAAGGTCAAGTGAATTTGTTGTGTAAGTCACATAGCACAGAGAGCCTACTGATCTACTGATTATGATTATGCCACATGCTTTGCCCTTTGCCCTGGATTTGGAAAGAGTTCTTTTTTCCTGATTTCCTAGCTGCCAGATTCTTTTGATCCTGTTTTTTTCCTTTTCTTGGGAGGCAATGTAGTACAGAGATTAAGATTATGCTGGAGAAATGTAGGTCCTGGTGTCAAAGCACTGGCATCTGACTCCTAACTATGTAATTTTCTGGCAGTGGGACATTTGGCAGATTACTCTCTCTACAACTCAGTTTCGTTATATATAAACTGCATTTATACACTGACACACGATTCTGGAACCGCCCCCCCCCCAAAATTTAAAAAGTCTGA